GGCAGAATCCAGGTTACCGACCACAATTTGGTCTTCCATCACTTCTCAAAATCTTAAAAGGAAGGGAACAACTAAGATTGTGCATGGTTTAAGTGATAGATATCTTAATCTCATTATGCGATTTAAACTCTTATGGAGGGACCTTACTCTTCTCACAGGTATACTAGCAGTGCCCATCGGACACATCAGGTTAAAACTCTCCGGAGATTCTATGGAGGGACTAAAAACTACTGAGCAATCAGAAGAAACTTAGAGAAAGTAAGAACTTCGCTGATTACAACATTCTGTGACAGCTGAAGACACGGAAGACAGTAGTTCGACCATCGATTTCGATGATGTCCACCGTGTGCCCCTCAGCAGGGTAGGAGCAGGGACGGTGACTTGCGCAAGGGTTTATAGTGCCAGTAGACTTGCGCTGCATCTACCTTCACTCTCTCTTCCTCACCCGGCTGAGCCCGGTGTCAAGACAGAGTCAAGAAGACCGGAGGCGAGGGAGGCCTCAGGTGGATGGCTTGGACGGATCGTCACCTTGGCGCTCCACTCCGCATTCCCTGGTCCACACAACAAATGACTAAGATTTTGACCAGCACAACAGAGATTGGAGGCTGGCACGGCCGAAGCAGCCGCACCTAGGCGTGCCGCCAACGCCTGGCTCGGATCCCACACAGTGGTAGGAGTGCCATAAAGGCCACATTAAGAAGGAGCCATGGCAGCCTGGCTCTCGGACCTCCAGTCGAGGAGGTCCAGGTTATCCCGTCAGTTGGCAACCTTCCAAGCCACGGCTTTTAGCGCACCATGATAGCTTCAAGAGCGTCGAATTGCTTATAGCTAGGAGAAATGCGCTGAGTCGTCAACCTCACTCTCCCTTCCCATTCCCACATCCCAGCCGCTGTCCGAGCCGGTCAGCAGTTGGAGTGGGGAATGGGCGCGGTGGCTGGAATGGTCGACTGACCATGCCTGCGTGCGCCACATGCACGACCTGGCCCCCCAGACACACACACACACAGCAGGATTTCACTCAAGGGGGGTTGAACGGCGTGTCTCTCACTTTCGCGAGATGGCCGTGGAAGGTGCTGTTTCAGCCCGTCTCCACGTCTCAGACTTGAGTCGCCCGTGCAGCCGAAGCCGCATGGGGGCCAAGTCGAGATTTACACTTTTCACTTGCGTGGGTGTTTGTGGTGGGTGAGTGCTGATATGAGGTAGGGTGGTGTTGATGGTGGTGAGAGAGGGAGGGTATGATGCAGCCGGCGATTGTCTACCGCTCTTGTTCGTGGATGCGCATGTGGCCGAAGAGACCCATGCGATGCGTGAAAGTGCGAGGACAGTGTGGTCAGTGGAGGCGAGTGCGGTGGGTGTAGGTTGGTGCTTCACGCACTGGTTCGCCAGTCTCTGTGCGATGGATTCGCAATTGACCGACCAGGCCGATGTGTGAGGGGAAGGTGCGGTCGCAGTGAGGGCAGGTGTAGTCCTTGTCCTCACTTCTGGAGTCGGAAGTTGCAGAGGTGATGTCTGTTGTTGTTTCAGGGGCGTGTGTTGTGTTGTTGTGCGCGACAGACGCCAGAGCGGCCGTCGTGAGGGCAGTGGAGGAGGAAGAGGGGGAGGAGGATGAGGAAGAGGAGGAAGGATGGGAGGAGGAGGAGGATGGAAGTGGTGGTACAGAAGAGTAGTCAGAGTTAGGTGACGGCAGAGAGGACGAGGGAGACGCAGGCGGAGGGACGGCTGTTTAGGCGTTCCGAGAGGTGGAGTTGGTCCGAAAGTGTCCAATAAGTCCAATTCGTGCCTGGAATGTCCGTTGACATCGAGAACACGTTGGAAGTGGTTAAGCGTCAGCGTTGCGGACTGGGCGCAGCTATGATTTGCGCGCTTCGCGTTTCACTTTAGCAGCGGCGATGCGGTTGGCCTCATTGATCGCAGCGCCTGTCTTCACTGTCCTCCTCCAGGTCGGTCGGTCGGTCGAGGGCGATGTCTTCCCAGGTGGTCGGGTTAATTTATAGACGCTTCAAAGAGGACTTCAGAGTGTCCTTGTATCGATGAATTTGGCCTCCTTGGCGACGAGAGCCCGTGACGACCTCTCTGTAGAAGAGTCGTTTGGGTAGTCGTTCGTCGTCCATGCGCACCAGGTGGCCGCTCCAACGCAGATGCATTTGTCTCAGCATGGTGTAGACGCTGAGGATTCCCGTCCGTTCTAGTACATCAGTGTCGATGATTCGATCCTGCCAGCTGAGCCTCAGGATGCGACAAAGACAACTGAGGTGGAAGTGGTTCAGCCAGCGTGCCTGCCCCGTGTACACTGTCCAAGTCTCCGCTTCGTACAACAGCGTCGGCAGGATGACGGCCACGTACATCTTCAGCTTCGTGCTGAGTTAGAGATCATGACCATTCCAAACTGTGCTTTGGAGGCGACCGAAGGCTTCACTGGCATTCGAAATCCTGCGGGCCTCTTCGTCATCGATTTTGGTGCAACGGGAGAGGGTGCTGGCCAGGTACGGGAAGTTCTCCGCCACTTGCAGCCGGGTTCCGTTCACACTGATTTGCGGCGACGGCGCGTTGTGGGGAGCGGCTGTGTCAGGTGGCGGTTGATGCATGACCACCGTCTTCTGCGTGTTGATGATCAGACCGAAGTTCTCGCAGGCGGCGGAGAACAGGCCCATGCTCCGTTGCATCTCCTCTTCCGAGGTGGTGTTCAGGGCGCAGTCGTCGGCGAAGAGAAGTTCGTGAACGGTAGTTGTGGATACGCGAGATTGGAAGTGCATCCGCCGTTGATTCAGGAGGTGACAGTCCGTCCTGTAGGCGATGCGGATCCCGGGGCATTCGTCGAGGTAGGCGTCCATCAGCATGGCAGAGAACATAAGACTGAAGGAAGTAGGCGTCAGCACGCAGCCCTGCTTCACTCCGTTGGTCACTGCGAATGTTTCTGAGACAGCTCCGTTGTCCGTGACTAGCGCCATCATACCGCCGTGCAGCTGGCGCACCATCTGAATGAATCGCTCCGGACAGCCGAATTTCTGAATGATCTTCCACAGTCCTTCACGATTCACCGTGTCAGAGGCTTTCGTCAGGTCCACGAAGGTAGAGTACAGGTGGGTCCGCATCTTCGGACACTTCTCCTGAAGTTGACGGGCGGCGAAGATCATATCCGTGGTCCCACGATGACGACGAAAGCCACACTGGCTTTCCGGTAGGAGACCCTTTTCTAGATGATTATTGAGGCGGTTGAGGAGGATGCGAGCGAAGATCTTTCCGGCGATGTTCAGCAAGGAGATACCACGGTGACTGTCGCAGAGTTGGCCGTTCCCTTTTTGCTTGTATAGATGCAAGCGGGACATCGTCTTGACGCAACATCTCATGTAAGAGCGCAGTCAGGTGATCCTCGAGTTAGGGACCACCGTGCTTGTAGACCTCCGCAGGGATCGCGTCCAATCCGGGTGCTTTCCCATTGGAGAGCTATTGCACGGCCCTGATGGTTTTCAGGAGAGATGGCGGGAGGTCGAGGTCCACGTTGGTCTCCACTTGCGGCAAACGAGTGATGACGGCGTCGGAGATGGTGGAAGGGCGGTTGAGGACGCCTCGGAAATGCTCGGCCCATCGCTGTAGGATTTGTGCCTTCTTAGTCAGCAGGGTACTACCGTCGGCGCTGAGGAGAGGAGCAGTGCCCTTCGTCGGTGGACCGTAGACAGATTCGATTGCAGAGAAGATCTCCCATTCGTTTCGGTCCGCGTACCCTTGGATCTCTTCAGCTTTGCGAGCAGTCCAGGCGTCCTGAATCTCGCGCAGTCGTTGCTGAAGATGGCGGCAACTGCGGCAGAAAGCATCTCTGTTGTTGTCAGTGGGGAGGTCTACGTAGGCTTTGTGCAAGTGCTCAAAGAAAGTTGACAATCTTACCCAAGACAACCAAACCCAGATCCTGAAGGCAAGAATTACAGTTGGCTTTTGTAATGGATGCCGAAAGTCTGGTATTTTGGTCGTCAGTTGGAAGGTGTGCTACGACAGCAGCAAACATTCTGTCCGACCGCGAGCAATATATAGGAGATACGCAGAACCCCAAATCACGTTTGTTTTCGTATATGCTCCCTCGCTCTTTCCACGACCGCAAATCCAGAGGGGAAGAACTATCTAGAAGGCCGTGCTACTTCGGATGAAACCTAGTCATTTGGCAAAAGATTTTTAGGAAAGTCCTAGCAATACCTTCAGGATAAGCAGAGCATCAAATTAAAGTTCTTTGCTCTTAACCTCCGAATGTTAACACCGCAACGAAAAGGAGCCTACGAAAGAAACAAAGTCTGTGGAGGAAACACTCACTTCTTCAGAATATTATACCATTTCCTGGATATATAAAGCAACGTAGGGAATTCCGCAAGAAAAGTCACAATTTGGGATTCATTTAAGCGACGACGGACGGTAGAAGCCACTCAATGCCCAAATAACTATTACGGGTACAGCTATGTTAGGAGAAAGAATAGGAATGAGATCGCGTGCTTCAAGGATTACATTGGAAACGTATTGCCTCACGGATAACAGAATTCACAACTTCTCTAACAATTTTTTATTCGTTATGCACGATGGAAACCTCCCAAAGATAATCCAGAGTCTGAAATGGAAAAACATTAAAGTCATTGAAACTACTGCCTCCCCTGTCAGCAACGTAGGGCAGATCTTCACTCAACTTAGACCATAAAAGTCTCTTAGAATGGGTGGAGTACCTGAGCTGATACTTAAAGAATTACCCGCAAAACCAGCGATATTTATTTCATTTATTTTCGAGTGGCTAATGAGAATTGATGGCTTGCCCTCCGAGCGGAGGTCAGCCAGTGCAGCTCGCTTATATAAAGCAGGCGACTGGATGCTTGCTAGTGGATTTAGGCTAGTGAGTTTGCTGTGCCTTACTTTTAAGATAACGGGAGTCCTTACAACCCACACAAAAGTGCAAGTTTGATATAAAAATAACAGCACTTCCCACATGTTTTTTTGACGAAAGCTCCCCTGACTCTCATGCCTCCACAATGATATGGAGGTTTGGGCTAAAGAACTAGGGGAGGACTTCGAAGCATGTGTAGCATATTCCGCTTCCACAAAGCCCTCAACCGTGTCCCCACACCAAGACTTTTGCATAAATTGGGCGCATTTGCATCGGAGGAAAACTTCTGAAATGGATATGAGCATTCCTGGTTGACCTAAAACAACATGTCTCTGTCGGCAAAGGTTGATCCGACTGGATTAACGCTACTATTTTTTCTCAGGTCCCAGTTTTCGAGCCATTACTTTTGATTTACTTTGCTAATGACGGTCCACACAGGCTCAAATAAAGCATGGTCATGTTTTCCAAAGACTTTGGGCTCTGACATTTCATTCAGAGCTCAGGTGACCAGGCGGTCCTTTAAAATAATCTGCACGGACTGAAGACGTAGTCTGATCGATGGCAGCTTGAATTTAATGTGCGAAAATTCGCCGTCCCTTTATCTGCGTCCATCCACCTACTAAGCTGACGTCCGCATGAAAGCCACTTAACTTCCTATGATATCTTTACAAGCGAAGATTCGTCTTGAATACAAGGCAATTTCAAATGACTGTTGTAATGCTCCTTGGCTGCGATAAACGACAAGGAAATACTACACGCTATTAAGAGGACTTAATCGCTCCCGTTAAAAACACTCCTATAAAGTGCCCAGCACCTTATTTCGTCCTCATATAAAACATGACCTGCGGACATGCAGGCCATGGCTCGTAAAGTACGAACGAGCCTAGACCTAGAGCAACGTCAGGTAACGAATCTCGTGGAAATGTTAAAAAGCCAGTCTTGCCCACGGCGACTAAGGTGCTTTTACTAATTCCCTCCGTGTAACAGCCAGCAATGGATTAAACTTCTGGTTCACAGGAACATACATGACCTTCAACAAGGACTTAGGTTTGAAGTCATGCTTCAGTGAAGTCCCTAACCTCTTTAAAATGCGCATGAATACGCCTAGACTGAACCTGCGGTCTGAATTTTTCGAACAACGAATAACAGAAAACCGGAATGGTCTCCTGGAATCAGTTTTAGAGGGAGCCACGATGCAACTGTTCAAAAATCATTCGAAAGATCTGGCTTGTCCCTTGTTTTCCCTCTTACTCTTATCGCCAACTGTACATCACAATAAATCCACACAAGTATTTGTTCAGGAACAGTGTTGCTTAAATATGCGAGTAGAACTGTTGTAATGGTCATTCATCCGAAATCCATACGCAGATACCCATGGGCCATCCACATATAAAACAAGATTTCCGGAAGCTTTGCCTATTACCCTCTATAATACGCAAAAACACTGGAGAAAACTGTGCACCAAATGAAGGAGATAAAACGCAGATTTGGCCGAAGGGATTAGCTCTAGATGAACATGCACGGCCACGAAGAGCCAGTGCGACTCCCTAAACAAGCACCTAGGCTAGGTTTCACGGCGAGCCGGCTACTTTATCCATTTCCAGCACCAGATACTGACCGGCTCAGACAATAAACTATTGTGTGGGAAGGGAGAGAGAGAGTGAGAGAGAGAGCGAGGCGGATCCTGGGGAATCCATACCTAGAGCACATCAACTCATTCGCACCACAGTAAATAGAAAGCGTTCTGACATTATTAGGCGGCGTAAAAAGTTGTAATCTGGGAGGCTGCCACCTGATTGGGCACCTAGATCCTCTCAGGAAGGGGGTTATCATAAAGGGCTCATTCTGAACGTGTGATTTTGAGAGAGGGAGGATAAAAAAATAAATACGCCTAATTTTGAAAGCATCATTCCAAAATTTTTAACAGAAGTATACTGTGTTCAGTCGCCGGAGTACGAATTAATAAACGGCAAGGGAATACACTACTTACTATGTGGACAGTTAAAGTCTCGGTTTCTGAATTTCAGTCACTTAACACGCAAAATGTCGTGCCGAAAACGGTAGTACGGACGGTCGATATGCCGAGCTACACCGAAAACCACGACCACAGGGTCTCCAGACAAGATGCTGCATGTTTAACTAAGACGCTCGTTTCCTTTTTGGTCAGGATAGATCAGTGCACTCCACTCTCATATTACTGTTACTGATCTGGACATCGGCCAAGAGGACGTGGCGAGAGAAAGAAAGAGAGGGAGAGAAAGGGGAATGCATTTTGCTTTGAAAATGACATTCAAAATCTTAAGCGAAAACGTGCCCCATTCACGCGGCCAGAATACAAATTACTATACGACGGTAGAGAGTTAATGGATTTGCATAACAACTGTACAACTATCATGAGGACAATTCGAGTCTCACTGTTTGTATCTCGGCTTCTTCACACGCTAGGTATCGTTCCGGAAATGATAATACGAGACTCTGTTATGCCGACGTAGGGCAAGAGATATGCCGGAAGCCACGGCGCACGGGGCGGAAAGATTTCGCAGCTACTAATTAGGAGTGAGGGGGATGGGCAACACCCAGAATTCGCTGTATTAAGATATCTGCTAAAAGAAATAATAAACACCCACAGCAGAAGAGAGCAGGAGAAGGATATATTTTAAAATAAGCATGGCTGGAAAAGTAACTGGAGAACAAAAATGAATGAGAGGGCGAGTGCAAACATCCATGAATATCCAGATTAGGGGGGTTAAGGTGGGTGGCAGGAACGTAAACAACGATGATAAAAAAGCGTGCGATTTGGACGAAGAGGATTTCAATATGAAAGGGGAATGGAAGATTTGAGGACAGAGTAACACTAAGGTGCCAAAAAGGAGATAATTGGTTGGAATGAATGTCAAGAGATCCCGGAACCGGAGATGGTCATAATCAAAACACACAATGGGCTGATTCCTGATTATTAAGTAGAAAACCATCTTCAAACGACCATACAGAGACATGATTTAAACCATCCTTCAGAACTTGGAGATGAGTCTAGTTTTTGATAGGGTAACTGACAAGCATTTCGTCAGCAGTCGTCGGGAGATCTCTGCTCACAAGTGTAAAAGTAAAAAACAGCGTGGAAAACAAGATGGAACTTTGAAGGGTGCCGCCCCTGCCAGCACCAGCCCCGCCTAGCCCCGCCTGGCTCCCTCAGTAATGGCGGGGCTAGAGGAGGCCATGAGGGGGCTAGGCGGGGCTGTGGAGGGGGCTGTGGCAGGGCATTCAACGCGATAGCCCCGCCTGGCCCTGCAAGCGAAAAAAAATACGCAGGGGACGCCACATCCCCGCCCACTTTTGGCACCACTTTAAAATATCGTCCTGTATGTTGAGTCCCCTGAGGCGCAGTGCCTCACTGTTCCCACATGTTACACGTAGAGTACTACGGTATTACATAGTACTCACAGTGACCCCGCCATGCGTGTGCCCACTAAT